TATATGTAAACATCTTAAATGAGGTTTAATAATTTACTCAGAGTAGACTTTGTATATAATATATTCTTAGCCGAGATGATACCTTAACTTAAGCATAATGTTGCTGAGTTTATCTTAGCACCAACAATTTAATTGCGACCACAATTATGTGGTTGTGTTTTCATTAGAGTTCATGAAGTTAGAATTTATGCGAGGGAAGTTGTAAAGAGTTTGGCACCTACTTTAAATAACAAACTCTTGTGCCTTATGATTCTCCAGTCTTTTAAAACATCAAGTTCTTTACGTAAGAAAGAAATTCGTTAGCTTGAGTTTAAATGGCATGAGATTAATGAGATAATAAAACAAAATATATACTTTTTAAATTCCACAATAACTTTGCCAAAAAAATAAATCAGAGGTTAATGTTATCAATATATATTTTTTTATTGCGTGTATTGATGTGACTCCACTGCTGTCAAATTCTGCTTATATATAAATGTTATGATTTAATACTTCAGCTTCAAACCGAGGCAGAAGTTTTTTTTTACCGTTATTGTAATAGAAATCTTTGTTTTTAAAATGCTTACAACATTAAATTTATAAAAATAAAAATGTAATTAAGGAAAATGTGTGAAAGAAAATAAATAGTCAGCCGAAAGCCATAAATCTTCTGTCGTTTAACTTTTGTTTTTGGACATTAGAGGGTCAAGCTCGTAAAAAGCTCTACAAATTCTTTTATTTAGCACCTTTGAACATATTTATAATACATTTAGAAACATATTTATCACTTTCTGTTATTTTTAAATACTACTTTAAGAAAAGACTGGGTAACTGGATGAGTATTGTCCAAAATTGTATGACTTTTAATCAAGCCTAATTTGAAAACTTAAAACATTATAATATATAATTTAACAAGCATAAGAACCTGGTTTCAGAAATATTCTCAACATCCAAGCCATTGAAATTGGGAATAGTAAATATTAACCTAAATTCTTTTCGGGTGGATCCTACTCATGACTACCTAATATTCTCAAAGTACAAAGTAAAACAGAAAATATAACGGATAATACGAATCACTGCAAGTAGTGATAGTTACTAAAGTTGGTTTCCTTTTTACAAAATACTATTTGAAATGGTAATTTAATTTTTGGCATAAAATCGTTCAGTACACACAGAATAGGTAAAAAGTACATTACTTGTGATACTAAAATCAAGGTTTTATAATTTACTGATAGTATAGTATCTAACTTTATTGAAAATAATAAAGATTTTTTTAAAATAATAAGTGGATTGTACTTGATTATCATTTTAATCCTTAATAGATGGATATGAGGTATCATCTCAAGAACAGCCTATTTTCACTTTATTTTTGAAGACACCTAAATCATAACTGAAAGGAAGCACCGACGCAGGCAAATATTTTCCAATCCTTTGCTATGGACATGAGGACGGAGGGAGCAATTCGCTTCTTTCGGATGTGTGAAAGGTGAAAAGATGGAAGAGTAAAATAATGTAATTTCCGTGCACACTGTCACAAGTCAGTGGTGGCTTATTGGTTAAAGGGCCCGCCTCTCGTCGCCGAGGGCGCGGGTTCAATCCTGGCGTTCGATCCTGGCCCGAGCAAGTACCAATGTGATTTTTTAGAATCATATGTACTTTCTAAGAGTATTTAGACATCACTGATTAATGTTGATTCCCAAAAGAGGGTTGATGTCAGGCAGGCGGCCGGTCGTAAAAACAAATAGCTAAAAACTTTTCACAACATGTAAGGCAGACTATAGCTGGGAAATTGCCAGGTAGAAGAAGCAGAAGAAGACTCTCCAAAGTGAATCCTATAAAATATTGAAAGACTTGGCATTTTACTCCTATATTGAAGGCTAACTGGTTTGGTGATAGTGAGTAGGGGCCTGCCCACCAAGGCCTGTTGGACAGCTCGTAAAAAGAGTTTCCCTGCGTCATTAAAAAAAAGGACCATGGAGATTATTAACCGGAACATGAAGAAAAGAGTTATTTTAATTAAAAATAAGTATTATTTTCCCGTCTATTTCAGTCTATTTAGACTGACTAGAAAAGTCATTGTCGTTTTGTCTTTCATTTTAAACATATATATTTTTAATAATTGAGAAAAGTTTGTTCAAAATTCCTTAAATATTAAAAGTATAACTTTACAACAAGTTAAACAGGCAAGCGTTAGTTTAATTGAAACCTGTAGAATTTTTCGAGTTGTTAGGTACTTAATATGTATCAGTGGCATCAAAGTATTATTTGTATATGTTGACCTCGTATATTCTAAACGGCTATCGAGCAACAATTGTGAGAACATCTCTCACATTCTCACAATCACAAAACAAACCAATGAGAAAAACTCTTCCTGCATTATTGCTTTCCATTGAACGTTTGACATGGTAGCAATTTAAAAACAATCTCGTGAATTCCGTGCCAACATACCGCCTTTATTTTATTCACCCTCTTGTATTTGCATGATTATAATTTCCTATATCCAAAAAATATCTAACGTTTTAAAAAAGCAAAGTATTATAATAATTCTTATATAGTCTTCTTCCTTCCTAGTACTTTTCCATATAGTTTTTGAAAAGATTTACAGAAGTACAATTTTTAAATTTCCATAACAATATAAGTATAATTACGAGCATAGAAATTTTGAAAGCGTAAAAAAGAACAAATATTTAGTGGGTTATATTATAAATAGACTACAAAAATTAAATTGTTGATTATTTTTATATTTCACAAGACCATGCTACTCTAAATTTACCTAAAAACTGTTTTAAAGAAGTTTACTGGGACGCTTAAAAGCTGAAAGTTGGCCGTTGAAATTGTAATTATGTAAATACCGACCTAAATATTATCTAAACTAAAAGAAAAAACCATTAGGTACTTTATATTTAAAATTATGACCCTTAAAAAAAAGACAGTGATACTTAAACATTCTTTTATATTTTTCAATATTATAATCGAAGCATATTATATTGGACAGCTCGTTTTGTTTTCTTCCAATATGTGATGGATGAGTTTCATTACAAGGGAATGCCCTTTATAGTCATCCGAGACAGAAATGAAAGAATTTAATGGAAAAGTTAAATAAAATATTTCACGGAAAATATTTTATAAAAGTCCTCAAATCTTCACAGATAACACATACTTGAAATTGTTTAGCTGTTACTATATTATTTATTAATAAAAAACATTGAGACTTTTAATCTACTATTAAATCCTGTGATTTTTGTAAAAAGAGATAAAAATAAACGCTTCATAAGCAGTTATATCATTGCTTAAAAATACCTAGAAACGCTATTAAAAACAGGGTTTTTTTTTTTGGTATATATCATCTTATTCATGTAATCCCATGAACCCCGGTGTAGGCATGGCATTTGCCGTGTAAGCTACATAAGCCTGTTAGCAGACATCTGTTGCTGTTAGTACTTAGGAATAACGCTTTTAACTATTCGGTACATCAAATACGAATCCTAAGGTTTTGGTTCAAAGTTAGGAACAAGTATAAATAAAACACATTTCCATCTTATATTGGACCCGCTATTCTATTTATCGCTTTTTGGTTCTATGATTCAACGAAAATCATAGTATAATTTCTATTTGTAGCCATAAAAATATATAATATCATGTAATAATCGGGGACTTTGAACAAAATATTCATAATAAGAAATATACATATAAATCTCAGTAACTGATAACATGTTACTGAAACAAGGAATGTTATTCGTCAATTGAGAGAGTTTCTTTGTTATTTACCAGTAAAGACACATTTCATTGAATCTTTTCTTAATGTTTGATAGAATTAGAACTGAAGAAAAATATTTGTCTGTATTTTATAGATGTGCAATATTTTGCATAATATCCAAAAAATTATATCGGGTCGTTACGTTACAAAGCAATATTTTAGTGGGAACATAATACGTTTAATTTAAATTAAGCCGCACTGAAGATTGATTAACTCCTGATATATTGGCTAAGCCACTAAAATTGAATAAGATAGGATACTTTATTCTTTCCTATTTGTACCTGTTTATGGACATAAGATTTAATATATTTTTGAAATTTCAGTTATAATAATGAATTTTTATATATTCCAGGAAATAAAGTAAATAGAAATCAATTAAGACATGTAACGATTAACTCTATCCATGTGTTTGAAAACTTGGAAACGGAGGTAAGCAAAAATTGAAAATAATTTCGTAAACCTCGTTATGGGTCGTTATACGAATAAAAAGATAGAGAACTTATGTTTTGAATTAAAATAAACTATTAAAATACTAAATAATACTAAATATATCCACTTTTACTTAACTTTTCATACGTTTTAATTTTAAAATTATGTAGCCAAGAATATTTTGTTGTATATTTAATTTTGTTGCGATATTGTAAGTTATATATGTAAGTAATTTAGCTAAAACTGAAGACTAGACATTAGTTTGTTTGGCATTTTCGGTATGATATGATGAAATTCATCAAGAATTTATTTCCTTCTTAACTTATTTCATTGACTTATGAACTGGTATCCTCAATTCCTCAATTCTCTTCGGAAATGATGTGCCCAACCGACAAGTAAAAGGCATTAAATCTGTCTGAAGCATTCGATTTGCATTGAGAAAATTGCATTTTCGAATCGGCGGCGACAAAGAGGCGGCACCTGCAAATGTTTGCAATTGCTTCCGAAAGCTTTACTTTACAATTTTCTCAAGACTACATTATATTTCTTCCTTAGCAAATGATCTGAATATTTACAAATTATATAACTAATTTATTACACTAATGTAAATCAGTTAACAATTATAAAAATTCATTTTGTAATATTAAGAAGTATTTAATATTTCTTGTCACTGGTTAGAAATAGAAACTTAAAAAGAAAAAAGTAGTTTAAATTTGGCATTTACAAAATTATAAGTGAGCCGTTTTACCATTTATTTTATTAAAATTATAAATAAAATTTTATGTGATTAAGTAAACAAAATTTTTAGTACAAAAACAGTAAAATAATAATAAATATGGCGTGTTCCTTTGAAGAACTAGGTTATGCTGTAACGCCTATGCTAGTAGCTCCGTTTCATGCGGAAAAATGTTGTGAAGCTCCCCCTATTTGTTACCCTTGCTTACCTCGATGCCCCAAAGGCCAAATTATTTACTGTTGTGAAAAGCCGTTGCAAAAATGTTCACGAACTTCAGACAGGAATTATGAAGACTGTTGTAATGAAAAACCTAAGAAATTGGTGCCCCCGCCAGTAACGTGCAATGAACAAGCTCCATGTCCTCGTCATGAACAGTACTGTCCTCCATGCCACGATCACTGTAAACCAGTCAAGACAAAATATGTAATTCCTTGCTACCGTTACGAAGATGGTAGAATAGTAAGTGTGACAAATTGATAAATATATTTTACTAGTAGATTATTCTCAATTTCCTGAAACCAACAACTAGGGTATATACATATATAATATTAAATTAGAATTTGTTGGTTTCAGGAACGCTATGTTCCAACTCGCCACGGTAGGCTCCCCATGTCGGCTTACCGTAGAAATGGCGTGCAAGATCAAATTCATGGTTATAGAGGCGCAATAAGATATTTATGCGCTGGAAGTGAAAATAACGAATGTTTTGTTTACACTGCCATTGAACCTATTCGTAGATTATACCCGAAAATTACACAGGAAATGTTACCTGTTAAAAAGAAGAGAGATAAAAAATTGTCTTAATATAATACACAGTCGACTAGAAACAAAAAAACAATACCAAAGAAGATATAAATCCGACAGGTGTACCCAATACCTTCAAGTGCATTGAAAAGAAATGGACTTCAAGACTATCACTTTAATGAAAGCGGTGGAGTAGGGTATATTAGAAAATGTTGGACCAAGGCAATGTGGGCTGATGCTCCATTTGCCATACCTATAAAACCTATGAAGAAACTCCCCGTTTTACCTAAGAAGCGTTGATTCTCTTTAGCGGCCTAGTTTAAAAATTACTTCAATAAAGCGCGGAACTGAGCAATGGATGTAGGAAAGGTTATCTATGTCGTTATATTAAATTTACGATACCATAGCCATCATCTATCATTGTCCAAAGAAATATATGGCTAAATACTCAATGTAAATTCCAGGTGCGAAAACTACCAGTTTCTGCATTCAAGCGCAATGGCATGCAAGATCAGGAACACTCTAAGTTACTTGGTACTACAAATTTCCTTCAGCGATGCCCTAGAGACGTTTCTATAGAATGTGATGAGACCCCAGCGCCAGTCAAAACTAACGACCCCTTAAAAGTGCCTTGTTATGAAGATAAAATATGTTGCCATTTATTACAGAAGAAGCCGATTGAAGTTGCCTTTACAAGATATATTAGATGATTAGGAGAAAGTACAATAAATAAAAATTACTTTGACTGAAAATGATTTGTTATAACAAAATTATATTGTGAATGAAGAAAAAAACCATAATTTTACAATAATTATACAAATTATTAAGTTTGAAATGTGGCATTGTGTAACAAATCTAGGTTATTAATTTTTTTACCTTACAATATATTGTCTCAAATCGTATGTTATTTTATGTATCGAAAAGGATAATATCTAAAATAGAGTACCAACACTAAAACAAGAAATATTAAGTACTTTCTTACATTTAGCATTAAAATATATATAAACGTAAATGTACAAATTTTCTGAATTGAAGTTGATATTTTATTTACTGTATATCTTTGTTACAGGTAAATCAACCTACGATTCTGATGCGTCGTGCCTGTGAAGTGGCAGTAGGTGCTCGACCTAGGAGAAAACCTTTCGTAACCTCATCATATTGTGCAGACTCTGAAGAAGAAGTTCACCGATACATGTCTCAAGATGAACGGGTACCTTACAGTTAGTTATCTTAATATAATTGATAATAAGGAACGAATTTATAGGGGCCATATTTAATGCCACGATCCATGCTTAGAACAAAACTAAATAGTTGAAAAACATTTTATTTTGCCCAATTTCTTTTATTCCAATATCTTTATTTCAAAAGAAATGATAGCATTATCAGAAAGATTAATATTCAACGGAGGGCAAATAACGTTGGCACCTGAATTGATTCCCACGCAATATCCTTTGACGAAGGCAAAGCAAAAAGCCGAATAAATGCCGGTGGCGCCGAGAAATTCAATTTCATTACAAAATCTGTGGAAGAGCTTCAAAAAAACTAATATCAGCGGAACTTATTTTGAAATGTTCTGCAATTGAAATTAATAAAATATCTCTGTATTAAATAAAGTCCCCAGTCTTTGCAGAACGAAACATTAATATTGGAATTTATTTTTAAAACGGTTAATATTGTTTTCTTAAATATTTTAAGTAATTTTTATCCTCGATACGAAGCAAAACTAATTGAATGAGAATTTAAAAAAAGTAGCAACTTCTAAAATGTGAAATGAAAAATTGATGGTGTAATGTCACACACAAATAGTACTCTATAATTAACAAGTTGTCGTTGAAAGTGAAATAAAAATCCCGTGATATGAAATGCATAAATGTGCTTCAAAAGTTTTTATATAAGGTCGCAACCTTATAAGATCTATTGTGTAAAAAAATTATGATCACAACCACCTTCGCAACAATTTTCAAATATCAATTATTTTAAACATTAAAATAGTTACAAATCAGTATAAATAACAATTTTAAATAGACTCCAATCTTTTCTACCTCCAAATCAACAAATATGTTCAAAGTATATGATATTTTCACTTAGTTGCTTTAATACCGAAGTTAATTAATTTACGGGATTCGTTTGAAACTTTTCGTTTCTTATGCAAATTAGTACAGCTTAAAACAAAAGTGAGAATATTGCGTAAGAACCGTAAATCGACTGACCGGAATAATAAATTATTGTTAAAAGATTCTCACTAATTTAATTAAACTTTTAATGGTCGTAATTTGTGATCTTAATCTCCATTTCTTTTAATACGACCTCGCCAAATGAAGAATAAATTTCTGTATGATGTTATGTACATGTAAACACATGTATACATTACAATTTGTAAAAAAACTTTTATTGAGTTTAGGTTTTTAATGTGGTTTTTATCTTGATATTTAGACGGACCTTAAATAGAATTTAATTATTTTTTTCATTTCCTCAGGGTAATTGTTGTTACCACTTTGAGAAAAAGAAACACAATGAACCCCCCGATTGCTGTCATATGTCTAAATCGTGTCCTCATTGTCGTGGAGAAAGCGTACGTGCAAAGATGTTGCCATCTCCGAAAAACTGTTACTATTATTGTTGTTAAAGTTTGGTTTAAAAAATACTTGTTCAATCGGTGTGTAACATATTAATAAAAGTTGTTTTGTTTTTGTCCTTTTTGTAATTATTTTAGTCTACAATTACATTCAACAAGTTTGGGCACTTTAAAAAGTATATTTTTAGTTACAATCGGAATCGTCGTTAAGTATTTAAAAAGAAAAATGTACGTATTAAAATATTTAATAAAATAAGACATGAAGATACTGAGAATACATTCGAAATCAAAAAAGGTTAGGTTGTTTAATTATCACTTCCAATTAAATAACTGTCATATTACATTATTTATACGCTCAAAAAGTTTGCCTTCTTATTTTTACTAACATTTTAAGTATCACTTTTTTCATTCTGAAATCGACAATATTTTTTATAAAAAAAAAATCGATTATGTAGTATTTTCTACAAATCATTAACAATCATAAGAAAACACGAATATTCCGTGGTCAATACTGCTCCAATCACACATGATAAATTTAGGAGATAAGGAATAGGAATTTTTCATACCTACCTACATTTTGTTTAGTTAGTGATGGAACCCATAAAACCATCGTTAAGAAGCAAACACTTTAAATAGACTTTATGTAAGTATGCCTGTTCACACAGAATACTATTATTATCATCCAATCTCCATAATAAAAGTCAAAGGCTTAGAATGTCTATTGATATATAAGGCCGATACGAGTGCATTGTTTTAAAAAAATGGTATACAAAGAATGAAGAGTATACTATTTTATAATATAACAAATTCAATGAACCTCAAACTACATATAACTTTTAGCTATAGCTGGCCATTTTTGATTGGCATGGCAATTTTGAAGAAAAAAAAATAAAACCGAAAATTGATAAACGTCTACTTTAATAACTAATAGGATATACTTTACAGGGGTTAAAATCCTACTGTTTTAAAGTAAGTAATTTTTGGGACCAGTTCAGAATGAGTCGCAAAAGCTAATAACATTGTCATTTTGGAAAATATTGTTTAATCTATAATCTATATCGATTACTGTAAATGGCGCTCTAAAATAATGTACATATTAAAATAGAATTCTGAATTTACTGTATTAATCTGTCAGAACAGTCACTGTCAACAATATTTAAATTAATAGCGAAAGATTTCCACCAATGAGTTTCAAAATTTGTTTAAAGGTTTTTACTTTATTCTATCATAGGAATATTTACAATTATAAATATATATAATGTTAGGAATCAACCAAATATTTAGGTGATGAAAAAGGGAGGCTGGACATACTTAAATAACGGACTTTCTATATTAGACGTTACATCCTTTTTTCATAATAAAATTAATTATGGTTCTACATTTCCTAAAATATATTATTAATTTGATATAAGTCTGCTTCTTTCTTTGTAGTATTTTTATTTTAAAGGAGTATCGTCCGTGACCCTTTCGGCGGGTCTGTTTATTAATTAATATTATTAAAAGGTTTTTTTCTTTTTAAGATATGTTTCAAAAATAAACTTTTTGGAATTATAGCTACGGCTTCATTCCCGTTGAACTTGTGAAATATAATATATTACAATTCGTATTGCCAAAATATTTTATGAAAACTTGTGTGGAGAATCAAAGGGTTTGTATAATAGAATAGTGGCTTTGTTTTTTAAAGACTACAATTATGTTTTCACCAGACCAATAATATACTCAAAACCAATGCCTGTCTTTCTTTTCACTTTCAAAAATTCAAACAAAATTTTATTTGACAAGATTTACTAAAGCGTTTCAAAGACTCAGTGAATATTATTCGTATCCGTGTTAAACTGTACGGCAAATATTACCAACGCTCACTATAAACTCGCTTTCAATGAAAGTCTTTGAAGCCCTCACCATCAGACCTTGGTCAATAAAAGCTTTTCAAGTAAGAATCTTTTTGTAGTTTGATAGGTAAATTAAAATATTCTTACCAGTTAATTGAAAGTATATCTTCAAAGAAAGTGATTGTAAAGATTCATTACATTTCAACTCTTTTACAAGTAATTCTTAATCCAAACCTTAAATGTACTTATTAAATAATACATATAGAATTGTTTTATTTTAATTGTTTAATTGTTTTGCTTATAAATACAAAAATAAAAACTATATTTACGACTCTCTGCTTTACAGATTTGCAATTTTCAAACTACTACATTCTATAAATGATTGGCTCATATTTAACTAGTTCTGACTTAATGTTATATCAATCGGAATTTAATACATAAAAATGCAATTGTTTGCTTAAAGAATTACTTTATATTTTGTGAGAAAACTTTGACTTTTGCTAAGAAATTTAATTAATTAAACGAGGAATCAGCATTATGTATTAGACATTAATATACAAAACAGTTCTTTGTAACACATTCGATATGACGGATTTTTAATAATTTGAATATTGCTTTACTGCATCTTCGTGGATATTTCTGCTTAATAAAATAAAAACATGTAATAAAAATGTAAAACAACGATATATTCTATACATGGAAGATATATCCAAAAATATATATATTTTGACCCTATATTTTATGTCAATAGGTTGTTAAGCTAAACATTATGAAAATTTGAAGAGTCACGTCGAATATTACATTAATTTATTAAACTATTTGAACTATGATTATAAATTAAAATACAAAGCAGATGTTACAATTATAATTTTCGGGAATTTTAACAACCAATGTAAGTTGACGTGACATCTATATAATCAATCACACATATAGGGGCTCAGCTTAGGCTGGTTATTTGTACTTTATGCACAAAGCTTTGTGTATAAAGCGAGCCCAAACTCGCGCCCCTGTCCTATAGTTTTCAAGTATTCGCATATTGTAAATATTTGGTAAATGTTAATTTGTCTTCCAGTAAGGTTAATATGTCTTATAAGTTCATCTACACATACAATAATACGGTTTTAACATAGAAAAAATATGATAAAAACTTTTGGCTTTATAGAGCTTTATGCACCTCATTTCCATGTTAGCAATCCAAGTAGCCTATACATCTAAAATCGTGTATAGAGAAGAATTATTTTAAAACTAAGTTTTTCTTAATATCCAAATCAAAGGTTTCTAAAATGCATAATAAACCAAAAGATGTAATGAAAAATGCTGCTGAAAGTCACTATTCCACGTAAACAAAAGCCGCGGGCATATCCAGTTTTCAAGAAATTAATATTTATTAGTATTATCTTGTAAAATCATTAACTTACTTATATACCTTTCCCCTTTGTCGAGTGCATTAATAGGTAATTCTAGAAGCAGTTTTATGCTATCATTCAGGTTTTTCTATGAGATTTCACTTTATCTTTCATAATGTAATAACGTACTACTTAGTTTAGAACTTTTAATTTGGAAACTTTATTTTAGCTTGAGTTTACCGTAATTTTAAGTGTTTATTTTCTTTATAATTTAATAAATAATATATTTATTATTATCTGTCAAACGAAAGCAGTTAAAATAATATACCTCTTTATTAAGCACTTTCTAAAATAAAAATATTCATTAAATACACTATATTGGAGGTATTCATAAAAACAAACTTTCTTATATGCTTTCGTTTTATCGATAAACCCGGCAGCCTTAAGCACGATTTTCCTTTTCCTGTTTGCTTCAGTTTTGCGAAATTTGGCTTGCGCTCATATTGATTTTACCACAAGACGATAAAAGTGCATCACATACATTTACCAGGAGCTCTTTTATTGTGGTTTCTCATTTGTATTACATTTTTATTACAAACATTTTATTCAGACATATATATATGCAACAAATTAATAAAGAAATTTGTTTTTATAACTTTATGTTACATCGTAAAAGTGTCCAAGTATTTGGTACTTAAATATTGATTAAAGCTTATATTTATATTATAAATATTACTAATTCAATTTGTAAAAGATCTTTCCTAAAAAAATGCTTTAATAACAAACGCTTTAATTTGTTACAGAAAAATAGTCGAAACACCAAACGAAATTACGGAAAACAAAGGATTCGTGGGATACGCAATAAAACCTCGATAAATTAGGAGCGCTGTAGGATAATAAAAAGGCTACACTATCTATGCAATCATGCAAATCGAGGAATGTTTGTTAGCATTTTTATCTCGTTTATTCATGAGTCGAATTCCGAAAATCGTTTTCTGTTATATAAATGTTTAGATTGTAAATAATACCAATAAAAGGGTTATCACGATATCAATATATGATTACATGGTTAGTTAGGGCGTTTTAAGAAAAGTGACTGTAATTTTGTGATGAGAAGACGACGTGGGCGGCCAGTACGGTGACTGCCTGCGCGCATCATGCGGCAAGCGGTTGCGTTGCTGCTGACCGCATGTGCTGTCTCTGCACAGATTGCGTGGACACCAATATTCTTAGACGGCAGCAGTAAGTATAATATCTATTTATACTCAAAATTTTCTTTTTTATTAGAACATTAATCACATATTTAACTGTGAAATTATTTTTTACTATTTAATTCCAGTATACCTAGATTGTTTTTTTTTTTTAAGTCATTTTTTTACCTAAAAATGATTATGGCTTTCAAAACAATACTAGGCCTGCACGCATCGGTTACTTTTACTGTTTCAATATTCAATACAAGTAACACTTATTAATTTTCGTAGGTCAAGTCGACCTGTGGACGCAGTCATCATCAGGTTGTGCATGCCCAGGTCAAGGAGGAGAGGAGTGCGCCTGTTGCGTGCGCGACGGAGCATGTCCCTGTGGGGATTTTGCTCCGGGAAGATGCGCTCAATGTGGACTTGAACAATTCTGTTCGAATAGTATGTAATATAATCAAAACAATGATAATAATAGCTTGTAAACTATTTATGGAATGGTTATTTGCTTAAAATTAGATTTAATGTTAACATAAATCAAGATAATACAATTTTAGTTCCTTTTGCTGTATAAAATATTCTAAACTATACCCTTAGGCGTCTATTTAGGTTAGGCAAATTGCCATGCATATATAGTGGTATCCCACTAACTCCGGTTTCACAAAATAAAAGTAAATTGTAAAGCTTATGCTACAAGAGACTACAATGGCAAAATGAAGATTTTAGTTACAACTGTCTATATTAAATTTCTGTTATGAAAAAGTAGTAGATGGATAAAAATTCCTTACAAATTAAAATGCGGACAGTATATTAAGATATTAATTACTTTAAAACGTACATACGACAATATTATTCTGGTATCATATAGGAAAGAATCTCTCTCAATAATTACCATTCTATTGTCACAGTGTGCAATATGACTATTGACTCGCGAGTCCTCAAGAATAAGTCTGGCAAAACTTTCGGCCAGATCAAATCTCCATCCATAGAGGGTCCCAGCACATGTTCCTACATCCTTCAGCCAGATGCAGGACAGCGAGTTGAAATTCAAGTGTATCGACTCGTTTCTGTTGGGAGATACAACGGGTCCAGGTAAGTAGTATTAACTAGGACAAAGTAATCTTAAAATTATAATTAGCTTACCATTCCTTATATTAAAATACGGACGGACAAATTTTTTTTTTACTTTAAATTTCTAACCAAATTAATATTACTCCGCTCTTTACACTGTGATTATCATGGTTTCCATCAAGTATAAGTAAAACTTATACACAACAATGATTATTATTGAGTTAAGTTTATGTCCTTTTGCAACCTTTTATGATAATGAAAGCTTTTCACCAACTACCATCTCCCCTTTAACAAAACTAACCAGAACTTACTTGAGTCCATTAATTATTATGCTAACTTGAAAGTAGTTTAATTATAGAACTAAATATTGCCTTTATATAAGAAAACTATAAGAATATTTATAACTATAAGCAAATATTTTAAAGTTTTAGAAAAAACTATTCGTCATTTCAGAGACTTACGTCATTAAATCCATTTCAATGTTAGTATTTATGTTTATGTTGAAAGAAAAACAATAACATGTTTTGTAAATGAAATTACAAGCACAATAGAAATTAATACCATACATGGGGTCACAATGAAAGCAAGAAAGTACGCCTTATAATAACGACTTCAGAGTACTAAACGTATTCAAAGAGAAATTGCTTTGTACATAACCTGAGACGTCAACAATGGGCCTAGAATATGTTTCTAAGACTGTTGTTAAGAAAATATATTCAATTGGTATTTTTACAAAAGGTGTAAATATTCTTTTATAACCTTATATTTTATTTATTTTTCTATAACTGAATTTATATGTTTCTTATTTCCGAGCATTGTATATATTGTATATAATTAATATGTTTTATAAAAGTAATATTGAAATAATAAGATTCCCACTTATGCTTTAATTATATACAGAAGTATAGTCCGTAAGTAAGTCTCTCAATAAAAGAGCACATTTTGTAAAGGTTTTAAAATTTTAGGCATGTATCTCTATAGATGTCGAATAGATGTCTACTCATGTCGAACTATGATCTTTTATTATCTTCTTTTATATTTTCTGTAGTTAAAACGTCAATAATCACAATTTTAATAGTAAGATATGGATGAGATATCACTCTTGCATGTGTCTTATTAATATATTACATATGGTATGCCTCAATTACTTATCGTTTTCCTAAAAAAAATATTAAAGTTAAATTGAAATTCTTTATTATTAGAATTAAGATAAATTAAGATAAAAAATAGTTTATATTAAACGAAATTAAGTATAAATAATTAATTATTTATATGCATTAATGTTTCAAAATAAAATGTTACCAAGTAGACTGAGTCTATATAAGATTCAAATCTTAAAATGTCAGAAATTAGGTAAACGAATATTTACTAACAAACAAATATTAGTGATGACAGTTATACCTCGAACTATTTTAATCAAAATTGTAATAAAACAAAGCAATAGTGCGCCATTGCTAATTAGAAACAATGGACTAGGTTTCTTTTTAATATTTCTTTCTAACCTGGTCCTTCAAAAATTTTAAATTAAAAACACTTCGATTTTTTTTTATATAATATGGAATAATAAAATCAGCTTTTTCATAAAAAATGCCTGTAAAAAACACTACTAATAAAAAGTTATTGCTTCATGTATTAAGAACCTGAAACAATGTGTTCTAATTTACAGTCGATAAAAATAAAAAGTATTAATAACTTAATATTTTTATATATAAAATATTAAGTTTTAGTTACAAGAATAAAATACTAAATAGATAAAGAACATATTTGTATTATTTATATTGAGAGCATCCTTGGGAACCGAGACCAAGACCATAGTTCCTCAAAGGCCTTTGAGTCTGGGCTTTTAGTACCTATGACGAAAGGACGGGTTTCCATTTAGAAGAAAAGTTAATATTTACTAAAAATGATACTTATTTATTGCTAACAAATCTTTACATTGAACGTCAAAAATTTGTATAGCAGAAATTCTACCACTTAGCCTTAGTGTGACCAATGTAAAATAGATTAGATTCGGTTCAATTATGCTTGGACTTTTCTACGGTAAATTCTGTATTACAATTGTAGGTACTGAAAAAAAATGTCACCTAATGTAATACTAAAATGACTTTAATCGATGAAATGGGTTATTTGAAAACAATTATAATGATTTCACTTATGACAATTATTACTACAAGATACTGAACGAATACACGAAAAGGAATATTTTTGATTCGACAAGAAACTCTCCGCGACATATAAATTTAATAATCTATGATTGGACTAAGTCTCAAAGTAAAGAGTCATTACCTCTGTTGAATAATATGTACTACAAGTTTATTACTAAAATTATAACGTTAAAGTGACATCTAAATAATATATTCAAATAATAAATTAAACTATATAACATATTACTAATAAAGACGTCACGAATTACCTCTAGAGATTTTAAATTGAAATCGGGCATTTGTCGAACCGGCAAAAGAACACGAATTGTTTCGATTCTGAATTCAAGTTGAAACTTATTTGTACTCTAACGCTTGACAGGTTTATTTTAAATTGTGAACAAAATAAGTAGGATTATTGTGCAACGTGCAGGCATTTTATCTATAATATGTAAGTTGAAACTGAATACATATACAATACTCTGTTACAAAATAAAGGATTACATAAGAACAAGTCATATTTAAATTATAATTTATAGAATTATAAATTGTTCATTGTAGGTTTTCAAATTTAAATTGTTATTGGCTCAACATATCCTTGTACTTGTATCAAAACTTTAAAGCAAACGAACATATGATATGTGAAATCCATAATGTACCTTCATAAATTGTATGATTTTTAATTAAAATATTACTAACCAATAACACAGTTGTGTAGGTGGTTGGTTGCAACTGAGTGGTGCCAGCGCTGTCCAGGATGCCAGTGGCGCAGCTGACACAAGATTGTGTGGTACTAACGAACGATACACGCCTCCAGTTGTATTGTTTGCTGACCACGGCGCTGCTGCTCTTGATTTTAGGTAAGTTTATCATAAATACTGAATTTAAGCTCTTGACCCCTCATTAATGATAATAAGATTTATTTTTTTTATTTTTTTGTCTAGCAACTAAAAAGCAATGGCTAATTACGATTACATCCTAATTTATTTGATATCCTATCCATTTCTACTAGGTTTTATTATAAAGTTTATCTCAAGTTATAGAAGAATCATAAGGAGGAATGTTTTTTCTTGAGATACCAAAAAAGAAAGTAAGTTAAAAAGAGAGCATCTATTTTACTATTACTCAAGTTTTTTTTAGCACTAAACAAATGACATATAAATTGTGGATGAAACTTTTGAGGTTATTTATACTAACTCTATGATTATAGATAGAATTGTATGAAATAAAAGATTAATAATAATAAACTTTATGCCTCTAAATAAGGATTCTGGCATAAATAAAAAATTCTAGCACTGTATAGGTTACATTAAAATTGCCTGCTAATTAATTGCGTTTTCGGTCACTAATTGAGGCGGGAAGCTTAAATGAGCATTATTTCCAGTTGCGGAACCAAGCTATACATATATATTTATATAGCTATATACATTTATGTTTACGTAATTTTTGAAACTATATGTTAAAAGTCAACTTTTAAATATTGTTTCTGTGAGAGGGATATTATTTTATGTTCAACTAAATTAGAATTTAAAAGTTTACTGTTTTCGTCCTCAATGTTGACAAATTGCATTATCGTCAATTAAAAGACATATCCAAATAAATTCCTTATCGAAAGTTAAACAATCTTGTTAAAATATTTGTATTCTCTAAATCATAGTTATCATTGAAGAAATGTACCTATTTATGTTTAAATCATCAAAAATACGCAAGTCAATTGAAGTTACATATAGGGTTGTTCTTTATGTCGAGGTTGAGGAGTATATTTTTTTATGTTTAAGAGAGATAACTATATGTTTAAGAGAGATAACTATATATATATTCTGGTTTGTGGGGTCGTAACCCTTCTTGCTCGGCCGTTATCTTGAAAAAAAGAGTTCAAAAAGGAACATCTTGTAAACTAGCAAACAAAAAGAAAATGTTGAGTGATTTTACTACGTATAAATTAAACTGTCTAAAATTTGAACTTTGTTATAATTTATAATAAAACCGAAAATAATAGTTCAGTAATCGTGCATATGATAACTAAACCCAATATGATATAATCTACTTTCCCCAGACTTACATTATTTTTTTCATCAAAAGACAATATGACATAACCGTTTTGTTTATCATAATATAAAATAGTTTTATAACTCCCAATAACACAATTTTTGCGGAAAATAAAATTAAAGTTATATTGATGTCTTACATTTAAATAAGTTACAATAACCCAACAGAAACTTTTTAACTTCTCCACAAAATTACAAAAAGTGGGTATACTATCTATTAATACTATTTAATATTCCTAAGTTAAACAAAAAAAAAACATAAAAAAGCCAAATCTAAATACATGTGTTAGTATAATTATATGTTCTGCAAAATTTAAAATGATTTTTCGTCTTATTACCATAAGACCAAACTGTCATAAAACATTATAAATTAAAAGCAGTAATAATATCATATGCATAAAATTCTAACGTTTTCGCAAAAATCTTTTTAAGAAACAGAAACATTACTATTTAATAGCAGAAGTATTTACATATCTTGTAAGAAAATTAAATTATTTTTATCCTTATCTATATTATTTAATATTAAATAAAGTTATTTTATTTGTCCCTCATCATACGCCTCTAGTTATCAATCAGTTGACTGTTAAAAATTTCAGTGTATATATAATCAATAGAAATTCAAAAGATGAAACATTTATACTGAAATTTATTTTACGTTTTGTAAATATATTTTTATATTTTATCCTTTTAATAGAAAACAAATATTGCGATTAAAAAACAAACACTACGATTTATTTTGCGTGTTTGATATTGCCCTGCCCAAACAAATTTCAATTTAATTCCGGTTCAACATAAAAAATATATATCTTTCTGTTTTTCTTGATTGTTTAGAAAATTATACATTGAATATTTTATACATAACAGGATAACTGAGAAAACTGAAAGATCGCAGTTCCTGGCTTTCTTCAGTTTTACATCTTTAAGCAATACACAGGGCGTTGGTTTCCATCCCAGAGGTGGCTCCAGAATTCCTAATACAGGTAAAGATATTTAAAAAGACACGAAATTCAGTCAACTTGAATTTATATCTGTATTATTTACGAGTATTTAATTCAACGGACGGTTTTGTTTATCATTTCCACCAGTGTGTCATTCTCAAGTTGTCAGATTTGTTACAAATACGACATAAGGATGATTAAGTATGTCGGATTCGACCTTTATGCTAATATTTCAATATAATTTCTATCAACGGAGACACCGGTTTTTATAGAGTAGAATACCCTTGTCAACCTTTGTATGAAGTGATAGAAAAAACCAGTCATCTTGACTTGATATTCAATAGCTTCTCGTAGCTTTAATTCTTTTTTCTGGTTTATTCGTTGTCACTTGAATTGTGATTGAGCAAATTTTTACTATCCCTTATGATATTTATATCAAAGGTAACACAGTTAATTGAAACTTAGACTTTAATATGTAATTAATTATTTTATTTAACTTATATAACATTTTCACAAGTAGCTAAAATAACTATGATATTTCTTTGTTCCATTTTCTAGACACATAAAATATTAAAAACTTCGTAAAATATTACGAACAATGTTGTTTGTTTCCTATAATGATGTAATCGAAAATGTGCATCCTGTCCAACCGTCGACATGAAAGCGCTCGAGATGCGACAGCTTCGCTATTTCGAATACGGAAAATTGTTTCCTTTTAGTTGGGAGCATGCATTTTGGGGCGTTCACTTAAATACGATGTTCCTTCGATATCTCTTTACATTATATTGTGTCCATTTATGGTCTGTTTGTTTTATTTTGTAGTACTATTTTGTTTTATTTTATACAGTTTCAACTTTATTGTTTTTATAAATATTAAAAAGATGTAAAAGCACTTATTCAACTATATTTTCTGTATAACTTTTTAAACATTTGGTGAGGTAGATAATAAATAATAATGAATTAAATGAACATTAATTTTAATAGATTGTGACTGGTTGTACCAAGACGTCTCGTGTCGTGGCAGCGGTACATGTGTATTAGCAAGTCCTGGATATCCTGGCCTGTACCCTCCACATCGCCGATGCCGATATCTCTTTGCTACAAACTCGGTACACACCAGGGTCAAAATTATATTTACATCTATATTGCTACCTAAGAAGTAAGTAGATTTATTGATTTTCTTTTCCATTAAGCGAGCTCTGTGTAAGCAAGATCCACTTACAAAGACTTTGTAACTGTATTTAGAAAGATTAGACAATTTGTAGTGATTGAAATTTCACTACCTGAGAATGTTGAACGAATAGTCTTTGTAACTGTAGCATATAATTTGAAAGTAAGAATAATAAATTTTATTAACAATGTTTTTGCTATTATGCAAGTGAATAGATTACTTTTATTTAACATTTTATTATTTTTCTATTACAATCATATACTATCGCCATACAAAAATTAATATGAATAAAGTTATTGTTGTAAATTGATACCGTTTCAGAAAGGCAATATTTGAAGTAATATTTTTCAAACTATGATTGAAAAATTGCATTTAGAAATTGCTAATCTATTGAAAGTGAAATTTCAAACATTGAATAAATACAAAATAAAATTTTAATTGATTACAAAAAAGACAGCTGGAACCATGAAGTTTAATAAAAAAAGGTATAAAAAAATTGATATCATACTATACATACCAAATAATAAAATGCATGTATTTAATTAATGTTTGAGTGTATGTGCTCAAAGACAGTAATAAATAAAATGTCATAAACAATTCAGGTATGTTAACCAATCGTCAGCGACATCTATGGCCTGTTTTACAAATCTTTCTATTCAATAAATCTGTTATTATGTGTATACGAAATTAAGGGATGAATGTTATATTATTGGATTACATTATTTTACAGTTTAATCAGATTCAGACCGGAAAATGATTAAATATCTCACCACTTAAATCTTGAAGTATCTTACCAAACAAATAAATATTTTACGAGGTACTTGAATATGCTCTGGATTTGTTACTTTTGTAGTTGTAAATTAATTTTACGAGTTGATATAGTTTTCGAAATGCACGTTACACTTCAGATATTAAAGACTACTTGTAAAATGCGTGTACTAGTGACGAATTCATAAAAGTCACAGCTAACTAGCCATATTAACTTAAGCACCAAACATACTTAACCAATACAATTTTAATAAACTTTATAAATATTAACATCATTGATAAAAAATCTATAATAATTTAGCTATAAATTCAAATACGAATAAGATATATATGTTCAGATTTAATTAATATTTTATTTTATTAATATTAAGTATAATATGGAACCATACCAAGACAAGATATTACTGTTAAGGTTTTAATCGCTTCAAATACGGATATATTTTAGGAAATGCGCTAACAAATTATTCCACAATATCTTCACTGTGAATCTTATTAATATGGTAGAATTTATCGTTACGTAAAATATAAATTTTATTTCACACAATTTAGAATACAGTAACGAATAATAACTATTTGAAAATTTTATTCACGTAGCCATATATTGTCAGTTACACAATACGTCTACATAATTCAGTTTACGTGTTCATTATATTGTGTAGCTTCCATAAATATAATAATTTGCATAGAATTTATATCTGTAGTATAATAAGATGAAAGAGTAATAACTATCCATTTATCCAGTCTCATTTAAAGTATAGAAATACAAATGAAGAAATGTTCATAATTACATATTTATATATTTTTATAAAGTTCAACATATTATTAATTATACTTTTTCTTTTATAAATATATAAAGTACGTCACCCCAAACGACTTCAGAAAAATATAAAAGAAGCGTCGTTAAAAAGCCCCGAGAGAAGGATTCTATGTAAACTCCGGCGGAAGTATTTTTATCAACCACCCGCATGAAATCCATTCGTACGTTTTGAAAGGCAGCTGAACAATTGTCTCTGCAAATAAAAGAACCTATCTCTTTTTCACCCATATGAGCACGCGTCACTGAAATTGTGTATAGACAAATCAACTTCAGGTTTATTTAAGGGTCAATTAATTTATAACGTTGTTGAAATGTATATATTGTTTGAAGAGTATTATGAAATAATTAATGAAAACAGAATGCGATAACTTAAGGAACACGAGTGAAGCATATTATATAAATAGAGATCTAACTTCATCGCCGTCTTTTTATAATATTGAAACGTTTACTGTAATTATTTCGTGAAACATATTATTGATACAAATTATAAAGTGCACCTAGCGATATATTTTTCAAATTTCCATTAGTGCATCTAAAGTGCCAAACAAATAATTCCACATACGAGTACATCAGACGACCAAAAGCCAAGATTGTTCACCCGAGATTGGTAGAACCAAATATTGGTGACACATGATGGTGATTTTTTTTAACAAACATTATAAAGATTCGAAATCAACATTTTTATTTCTACCAAACAATAAGCTACAAAGAGCATGTTTCGTGAGAATAATTGACTGAGTATCAAGCACAATTGGTTTTAGTGACGTAAAAACAATATTGAAATGATCAAGTGATTCAATGATGTCTGTTGAAATAAAAAAAAATATCTATTTAAAAAATCTGTATAAAATTATAAAACAAGAGTGATTGTTGAAACACAAATACATTTTTTATACTCTCTGAATTATCATTTAGTTTGCGAATGTTATGTTTTTAGTATGCGAATGAAAATTTTACGAAAAGTGTTATATTTTTTAACAAATTTAAAGTAACTTTTATCTAGAGTTACGTTACAGATCTCACGAAATTCTTGGAATATGATGCAGTTTATATGTTACATTTACTTTGTAGCTACTTACGAACACCATTTTACCAATGATATGTTTAAACTTTTTCATTAATAATATTAATGTTAGGTAGGTTGTTTATTGTTATATGATATTGGCACTTACATTGTACTTTTATTTTCTACTTGAAAATAATGATATAATAAAAAGAATGCATAAATTATCTGTATCTATAAATAAAAATATAACAAAAAGTTTATCCATAAATTATAATCCATATTCTTAGAATATAAGAACATGATTGCCTATTCCACATTTAATATATGTAATTCGAATAATTATGGGATGTTGTAATCGATATAAATTTATAAGACTCATACGGTGTGTTACCATTTTTACATATTCATTTGTTTAAATATAAAGGTGTTCTTTTTATTGGCATAAATACAACAATGTGTTTAAAAAAAGCCTTCACATTTTCACTTTATTAACATTTCAAATAAAATTTTATTATTTAGGCTTCTTTACTTCCCTTTAGTGGCAATAAATCCTTTTATTTAATATTTCTTTCTTCCTTATTACATCCCCATTGTTATAAAAATTCAATACACTTTATTGTAAAAGCTCCTTTTTTATAGCCTAAATTATTTCCATGGTTTACGTCAGATTCAACCATTCAAATTATAATAACGTTATAAAATTTAATTTGTTTAATCAGCTGTTGAAAAGCTATTAAAAATATATACAATACATATATAAAAAGACGCTTCATGGAATCATTTAGTTTAGTTTCCGTTACCCATTACGCTATCAATCACGATTCTAACCGACCATGTTGATAGACAAGCTCTGTGCCTATCAAAACGTACACGGATATTTGATTTAGGACAGTATCCGAATGAAACTCATTATTTTGCTGTTGTTCCTACTATATATTGAAGAATAATATCCATAAAAAAGAAAATCTTTTAGGAAAACTTCTAGGACAACAACTCTTCCTTTGCATACTTTCACTAAAATAAACAATACATCCAAAATTCAAGAATGTTTTTGTAAGGCCTTTTATATTTCTCTCATCATGGTTATCTTATCCTGTTATGGACTGTGGTGATTTTTTAATATTTTATTTCCTAACATATATTTTTTGGCACAAATAAAAAACGAATAGGAAAAAAAAACTCGAAAAAACTAAATTTAAATATAACAAAATGTGGTGGTTACCCTAGAATATTTTTTTAACTTCAACAAAAGATTTTAATTTTGGTAGGTACTAAAGTCTATGAATCCAAAACTTTCTTTCATTTGTCGGTACTTGTAATATTAATACATGACAATTAATCTTTTACGTCAATCAAAATTAGTATTAAACTAAGTATTCATTGTGACTGATATGTTAAAAGGACGTTTAAGTCATTTAGTGGGTAACTATTAACTCTTTACAGCCATTGTACTACGGACTATTTAACGCTCCGGGCTGGCAGTTCGCCGTCAGCACCACTTCTCGCTTCACTCTGCTCTGAAAGAAGCGCAACATTAGAACATCCCGGGCCAAATTTGTTACTGGAATTCAAGTACTGTTCTTAAAATATTTTCAGCATTATAATGTCAAGATAAATTGTTATATTTGTTTTAAAATGATTTTTTTTATCAATACTGGGTATTTTGATAATGGTCGTTATATATTTATTTAATGATATTTGAGAGTCACCTTTGTGTATTTATTGCGAATAAAAACTAGATATTTCTTAATTTTATTAATTAATGAATTATAATATTGTTCTGACTAGTTCTGGGCCTTTGGTATCACCATATGACTACAATGGCTTCATTGCGAAGTTAGAATTTCTTGAGAAAATAGAAGAAAATATTCTTACACCTACAATAGCTGCTGCGCCACCACTCGCTGCTCTCACGCACTATACATATGGTATTAATAAAAGTAAAAATAAACATAGCCCCTTTTTACATTAAATATGTTAATTAAGTTTTTTTTTCTCTAGGGGAAAATAATGTAGCAGTCGATAACGATGCAACATCAAACGAAATATCAAATAATAACGGACGTATAGGATGTGGTGCAACGGTTCGTGGTTTTGGAGCGGGTGTAGTAAGATCAGGACATTTTGATACAAGAGCAACGACATGGCGAGCACAATGTATAATACATTTACTTGGAATGCCCACTGATGTGGTTCAAGTGTCTTTATTTAATTATAATTTAAGGTTAGCATCGCTCGTATAGCAACAAATATTAATCACTATTAAGACGTATTTCCAATTCACATTTAAAATCATTAGTCATTCGTTATCTTTAACGTTTATTTTTTAGGTTACAAGGTTGTAGATCTCATATTGAGGTCTTGGAAGGTGTTCATGAATATGGATTAAAAGGGGATAGGGGTGATAGATATGAAAGAGGAGACAGAGCTCTCCTAAGGATATGTGGTCCTTCTGTAAGAGAAGCAAGAGATCCTTCGGGAAGGTTTTTAGTAAGACAGGCCGTTACATCTAAGAGTTCAAACTTAACCATATTAGTGAGAAGAGCAACAACCCAAAGTGTGGACGAAGAGGAATTTGTGGATGGCGCCTTCTCATTTCATGACGGTGAGCTAGTTTTATTAATAATAATTTATTTGCATTATCATTTTTTTAATACAGAAGTCCTCATTATCCATTATATCTACAGAACAGCATGAGGGTACGGTTTCACCCGATGCTACATGTGCATCCACTCACTACGGCCTTGCTGCGCCGGTTCAAGGCGGGGTTTCAGCTCCTTCACATCATCACATTTTTTGGAATATTGAGGAAAGACTTATGTGCACTCATCGGTTTATACCAGCAACTAATCAAAGTGTTACTATCGAGGTGCGACTATACTATTTTTTACTAATTATTTGCGATATTTTTAATATATTATGCTAAAGCTCTTAATTTCGTCGCTTTTTTATCATCATGACGACAACGTTATACTCTTACTAATTTTTCTATAAATATTCCTATATTTAATTTTCTATCATAACCTCAGATCCAAAGATTGGAGCGTATGTGGAGTGCTGAACCAACTGGAAGTGTGGTGACAGGAACTGGTGGATGTCGTACCGCTTGTGGTGATGCTGGTTGCGAATGTCGAGCTAACACACCACTTCGATACCACGACCATGTGGCACTTGTAGCAGGCGATGGTACACACCTGTCCTGTCTTTGTGGCGATTTCCAGGTAAAATATATATTTTTACCTTAACTATATATTTTATATCTATAACTATATACCTTAACTATATAGTTAAACATATAAAAGATCGGTTCTTCTATATATTCTGGATGGGCTTTTTAATTTAATTGAAGATACTACGAATATACAGATATTATTATCACAAATTGGCACTTTTCCTTATTTCGATACAAAATACAAGCAGTAACAGAGTCAAATTTTCCTTGATTATATAAAAAGGAATTTTATTCCTTTAATAAAATCTGCCGTCAAGAAAATTGACGATAATTGCTTCACACAAAGGAAAATCGAAGAGAGTGCTGAGAAAATAGAACTCTTGATACCTATAAATTAGAAATTTAAAATTGTAGAATATTCGTTGTAATTAAATAGAATTATTCTTTTATCTCATGTAAATTAGAAATAAGATATTTCAGACGTAAAGAGACTTTCTCAAACTCTGAAAAATTTGTAGAATTAAATGTTGCTTTTATTTAATTTTGGTATAAAATTATTGGGCCTACAATATTATTATTTTTATCCCATAATTCACTAATAGAGTTATCGTAATTAAAAAAATGTGCTTTTACCGAATGGAAACTTTTGTTGTTTTTGTTTATTTTTCGTACACGAATATTTGTACAAATGAACTGAAAAAGTAAATGCTCAACATTAGAATAATTAAATTGTAGTCGCGATAAATGTAACAAATTTCAGTGTTAGGCCAAATCGTATTACAAAATTCCTAGCATAGACTGTAACAAACAAATTAATCGTGTTACTCGAGTCCTATACCAACAGCGCTATAGATGAACCCTTTTCTGACTGGCGTCCGGACTGTGGCGCGATCCGCATAATTAAGTAAGAGGGTTACCATTAAGTATGTAATAGCAATAAAGCGCGGAACCGACCAACCGTAAGGGTCTTATACATAAAAGCAAATTTACCACTAAATAATTTATCATGTTCTACATGTTATCCATATTACATACGCTTAGTAACACTGCAACATAAACTTGGGGTAACGGATTCAACGACTTTACATTAGCCGTAAACCGTTTTATGCTGTACTCAGCTTACTCAAATATAGGCAAGTTTGATTTTGTCTCTAAGTTTCAGACGTGTCTGTGGATTAGGAAAGCAATTAAGTGATAAGCAACTTTACGCTACCTAATTGGTTTTCTTGTTAGTGGAAAATTTTGCTTGGTTTAATTTAATGCCCACTTAAATTTGCAATAATACGCATAACGAATTTTAACATCATCGGAAACAAAGATTATCTCTGTTTCTAATAGACAGTTAATAATAATAATTAATCACTACTTAATCTAAATTAAGTCACAAAAAGAGCAAAAATTATTTTATTAAAACATTTATATTATTGACTTGTTATAAATATTTAAACTTACTTAGGGATAGTATTTATTAACAAATTCATTAAATTAACAAACCAGGATATTCTTGCAATACAATATTACTTCCAAATATTTGTATCTATTTCGTATAAATATAAATATTATTCACGGTTAAACCAAATAAACCATTTCCAAATTTCAGTTTTCGACAACAAGTGTCAAATTTGCTTGAATTATTTATTGAAGCTCGAGGTATGAAATGGGTTTGTTGTTCCCGTTGGTCATAAACATGGCGTAACTGGCGGTATGTCATCTGCCGCCTCGGTTATTAGAGGCATGAGGTCGCTCGACGCGACAGCCCACAAACTCACCCTTCAAAATTCAATTACTTATTTGGCAACGTTCAAATTAGAAGCGGATGTATTATATTTGAAACGAATTATGATATTATTTTAAAATACTTTATTTCAAAAATTATATTGTATAATATTATATATGAAACCACAAACCTACCAAATTACACCGTACTGAAAACCAATATTCTCTTTTCCCTCGAGAAAGGTTTGGGTCGTCCTTTACTCTTTATTAGAACCATGCAAAAAATCGACTTATTAAGTTAGGAAACGCCATTACACATTTTTGGAATACCTTACATCAAAGTTACGTAATAAAACTTTTATCCGAAAATAGTTTGTACACCAACAAATTCTTTTTTATTATTGTATTATATAGGTATATAGTAATAACATAAAGTAACTTTTATGTTTAAGACAATCCCAATTTCTTGTTAATTTCATTAGTCCTTGTTGCATAATAATATTTACGAATAAATTTGCCTATAAAACTGCAAATAGATTCACTGAACATCAATTAACCGTTTGTGTAATATATGTGAATAGAGCTTATTTTAATCAACTTAAATATTTTTGATTTTCATCATTTCAATCAATTTCATTTCAAATTTATAAAAGAGGGAATGTTTAAAATATTTTATTTCTCGAAAAATATGTTTAATTGCTTAAATAAATTCAGCTTACTCCGTAACTAGTTTTACAGTGTAATAAAATAAACGTAATTTATACAGCTACAATACTTATTCAACTACATTTTAATATAGTATAAAATTAATGATAAAATCATATTTTAGTCTGTGTAATTGGTTGAAATGATTATTTCAGTTTTATTATAAATTTGAGAGTTAGAAAAAATGAATATTGTTTTTGTATAGGCTGCTTGGCTGCCTGTTGTAGTTAGAAGCTGGACGAGCTTGCGCTTGGAGTATTCAGTCGCCCACTACACGTACGCCAGTCGAGGATTTGATTATGCTGCTGCATATAGCTTTAATGACGATGCTATGTGTGGTCAACGCACGTACACCACACATTCTGGTAAGTTCATAGTAATGATATTATATATACGAAAACTCTATTATATGAAAACAAATCTAATAGAAGTCTTCGATTTATCTAAGCCTAGTTATCTTTATTACATTGTATTCAAGTCGAAAACATTTTCGGTAGATTGCTTTCGATAAAATATAGAAGTGATACAGAATTTATGAAGGCTCAATAATGTTAAGTTAAGCTTTATATTATCTTTCTGATTTTCATTTGGTTTTAATCCCATTGAAATGATACGTAGTAACAGAAGATTCGAAGTAACAAAAATATATTTTTGTCTTGCTGAACGCACTATCTTAAGATAATGTTCCTTATTTTCGCGCCACGAACGTTTGTTATAATGCGATGGATATTGTTTTCGGTACCGGGGCGTGTCCGAGAAAATTACGCGCCACCGACCCAGTTTCACGCCGCGTGGAATAACGCAGAATGAAAAAAAACCTTGAGCGAGATCGTAATGTTCCAATTACATCGCTTCTATTGCGGTCACTGGTTGTTTTGGGCCTTTTATTTTCTCAGCTATGGTTACATGTTTTATTACCTGCGTCCTTTTATTAATATAACCTTTTCAGGGGAGATATCGTCGAAGAATGTTTCCGTTACGGGCAGTTTAAATGAATTTTTTTATCAACAATGTACTTGGGTGTTGGACTCTAATGTTGAACGACAACTTTACATTGATATATGGTCAGAACAGGTAAAACACGTTTTCTTTTTATACTTAAACAAAAAGAAATATTTTCTATGAAAACTTACTTAAACCTTAAGAAAAGTACACTCAAATTTTACTGCAAACATAAACAAGTTATCTTGTGAAACGAAATTTTAAAAATTGCTTTTCATTTATACTTTAGGATAAGTCGTGCAGCTCGTGGAATATTACACTTCACGAATGGTCGGGCATGGGGGCGCACAGTGAAGGCGGGCTGGCAGCATCGGCTGGCGATCTACTTTATACCTTCTGTGCTCGTCATAAGAACCATACATACACGCTACCCTGGAGACTCAACACAGTTGTTATTAGGTACCTATAACATCGTTTTGAATCACCGTTAAACTTTATTGGAAAAGTAGATTAAATAAAAATTATATGAGTGGTATTATGTTTCACGTAACATTTATGTAACTAGTTATTATAAAAAAATATATATTTTGTATTAATTGTTCCTTGTTAAATTTTTATTAATTGTTCCTTGTTATATTTTTATTAATTGTTCCTTACAAAATTTTAAGTTCTTTCATATTTAAATGTTTTTTTAGAATCTATTTTCTTCGTATTACTTACGGGAAATTATACACTTAATCCTTAAGAGCACATGCTTTTATAGAATAAGTATGTTTCTGTACAGATCTTTTTTCTTTGTACATATTATATGGCAAGCCGGTACGTGGCGGGTTTTTGAAATGACATTTTCACTCGTAAATCCCGAATAACGATGTGTGAAAACATACCTTTGTCGATGAATTCAGAATTTCTATCGGTAACATTCTTTACATAATGCTCAAAGGACATTTTCATGCCGAACGACCCTGATTATCATTTGCGAGGGACGAAATACTGATCGCGACTATATCAGGATTTTCAGGATCTTCGATCATCCGCAGAATAACACCCTTATTTGACTAACTGAGGACGATCAATGTGTATATGTTTAATGATATACTAATATATTTCATTCATTATGTAGTGTTTGAATTTGTTAAATTTGCATCTATTTCGAGCGCGATATACCGTATCAATTATACCACTCAATGTGATTTTGTAATTATACTGCTTTATATGTCAAACATCTAAGACTGTGATAATGCTTTCAGATTAGTTGCACTATCACGACAACAACCATTATATACAATCCGATGGCGGTCACAAGTAGTGCGGGCTAACAGGCTCAGTCCGCCCACACCAGCCCCCGCAGCAGCAGCCATCGCCTCCAATCTCGCGCCATACAATGTTATTTTAATTTTATTGGCGCTCACACGGTACTTATACCCAAGTGGATTTGGAGAAAACTATAAAATAAATGATCAGATAGACCTGATATAAAAACTTTTTGTGATATTTGTTGCAAAGATGACAAAAATCCAAAATTAAGATGGATGTGAAAATGCTTTATCTTTTATGTTGCAGTGAAAATTTATTTGAAGAAATAATTTCCTTCTTAAAATCAAAGTACTTTTAAGAAACAAAGACATTTTGTTATTTGAGTGTTGTGATATTATAGAGGTAGTATTAAGCACATAAACAGATATCCGATACACAATTTTTCGAATCTGTGAATGAGAAATATAAAACGACGTCATTTTTCCTACTACGAGTACTTACTACTTTAAGGCGGTGATAATAAGTGTCAAATTACATTTGTACAGTAAAAACAGTGTATATACTAAAAGCATTTGATGTACGAAGCTTAAATTAGTGAAGCATTAATAGAACAAAGAAATGTTTTAAGTACTGCCTGCGGTAAATCATTAGGTAGTTGGAACTGGGACGACGGCTTCAATATAAATAGGGCACCAGCAAACTAAGTTACATTTAACTTTAATAAAAGCAGTTGAGGAGGTTATGTCAAATTAAACACTACGGATGAATGAAAGAAAAATCACAACTATAAAATATATAAGATCAATCTAAAGCACAATGTTTTTGCATTCGAAATTGAATAATACTACGTAATGAGATATAAAAGTATATATAATAATAGGTAAGGATCTTTTTTCAACTTGTCACGCAAAAAGTAAAAATGAAATCACATGTCAATTAAGTAATACATGTTGCAATTAGATGTTTTTGTTAATATTTTACTCATATCATGGATTTTTCACTTTTTCATATTACATTACTATGTTAATTTAAAATTTTAGCGAGTAGTTTTGTGTTATAAACTAATCGTTATGATTTATCTAACGCCGTGCTTAATACTGCGGTAATTTTAATGGGAAGTAGTCGCTGTTTGTTTAATTATTATAAAAGCCAAATGTTTTATTGTCGAATGTAGTTTGATAGGTTTAGTGTATAGATCATTGCTTTATAATCATAGATCTTTCTTTTTTATTATACCGCACGTTTAAATTAGAATGTGTCCGTAAATTTACAAAAAAATACTTATGATTTCCAAGATAAATAAAACTTATGTTTCAATCTGAAGCGCAATTATTTGAAGGCAGAGGGACTTAATAAATATTTAATTAAATATATCATGGGTTTATAATTTATTCATTTCAATATTACAAATTTATAAATTATTAAATAATATGTCTTTGAAAAAAGACTCTTCTCTAAACATTTTGATAAGTATATTTTAGAAAGATAATAATAACTATTTACAGTCCCAACCAAACATTCAAGATCAATAATAATAGACAAAAAATACCTTAATTAATTATAATAAGACACATATTCAAAAATAAAGTTAGCCTCAAATGATTTGCGCACAGATTGATCGTGTCTACAAACGCTATTTATCGATTACATCATCAATAATTTATTGTCACTGTGCGATTGTAGCGATATAATGTATATTGTAGTTAATTGTAGATATAAAAAGAAATGCTAATTCTAATAGACTGTGTAAAAATAATTCAGTGATATTTGTTACACCGAAATATAGAAATCAAATTTAATATTTTGTTTCATTTAAAACTTAAACTTTACCTTTATATTGTATAACTAATTACACAAAAGATTCTGTCATGGCGTAGCCTCTATATTTTAATGATACGAATTATTAAAAATGCAAATTAGCGTCATATTTTTTTATAGCGGGGAACTAAAACATCAAATAATAAGTAATCATTTTGTTCAAAATGAAATTAATATAACACATTATATAGACACGACACAGACAAAAAATGGTTCTTATTATGATTCGTATCACTAAATATTTGACGGCGCATCCGTCAAAAATCATACGTCAGGTTGACTTTTAGCTGTCTGAGGTTAGCCTAGTGAAGCGTCATTGTCGATGGTAGCGAGGGCGACCATCTTTATTATAGAGTATCGTGCGAGATGACGCCCGCGCACCGCGCTCGTGACGAATCGCTGTGTATCGAAGTGATAGTGATATCTAGTGTTTCGATTGAGTTGGTGTCGTATTGAATAGACTGTACTTTATCCCTTTCAAAGTATGAGTTCCCATGAAGGCCCTCCTGTTCTTATAACGCCCTCCTACATATTATTAAATTTATGATCAAATATTTTTATTTCACAACACAAATGTAGGTATTTCTTTTGACGTATTGTACGTTTTATCCTGATACTTACACGAATGTTTTTACTGGTTAAAAACTAAAACATTTATTTTAGTGATAATATAACTTATTTCCATTGATAAACATTTTTTGTTGAAAGTGTAGGTTATAAATAAATTAACTTTTTAAAAAAAATTTCAAAATAATTTTATATAAGAAGAGGAAAAAATAGGAAAAAGATTTCTAAAGTTGTTCTCAATAACTTCTAAAAAGCTATTAGTGAGCAACGGACCATTGGTTTTATATAAAACTTCCTTTAACTTAACACTAGAATTCTCCATATATGGAAAATAAGCTATAGCTTATCTTTTATCTTCTAGTATACTTTGTGGTTTTACAAGTTTTAAAGAAACGGAACTAAAGTCAGACTTTTATTCCTTTGCCGCTGCCTTTAAAGTTTTATCTTTTCGTTTGAATGTGAGTATAAAATTGGAAGAAGAAGAGTTTAATACACTTTTGATTTTCAACTCCGACTAAAAAATGAAGCATTTAATTTGTTTAATGTCACTTTATATTAGGTACTGTTTAGGATCAAAAAGAAGATTTTCTTGTCCATTTTTGACATTTAACCTCTGAAACTTATATTTATAATTTTCCCGAACAGTGGTATAGAAGAATTGGCTTTGATTTTTACAGTATAATTAAGTGAGCCCTTTCGTGAGTGCTGTATACATATTAATATATTTATATAAATGTTCTTAAGGTGTTCAATTAGGGACTTGTTTGATGTCATAAATTAGATTTCCATTAATCGTTTTGGAATCCATCTTCCATCACTCAATAGGAAACGACAAATCTCAACCAGCAAGATTAAAGACTTTGCTCGATCCCCAAACAAATTGGTCGGCTAATGAGATAGTTCGGGAGTGGATGGCAGGATTACGTCTAAATGAATCAAAGTTTCCCTAAAACTGGATTACTGGTATCAATTACAGGGGTCCAAACTTTTTTGAGATTTCAAATTACCATGGATATAAAATACTAATAGATTTAATTAAATTTCCAATAATCAAATATTTTTATATACATATTTTACTTCAACCTAAACCACTGTTTGATATATTATAGTTTAAAGCATAATGGCAATATTGCGCTTCCTCTATAAAATTGTAGCGTGTTTAATAGACATGTATTGATGATGATGATTTGGTTAAAAAGAGAAAACTTGATTCTAGAAAAAGACCGAAGAATATTAATAATTTAAAAAAACTAATTTCAATGATCATTGCATATAAAAACAAGTTATATTGGAATTCACATAAAAATATATCAAAGTCGTAAAATTTAACTACAAAAATACTAGTGAGTTTAAAAAGCTCCCGCTGTATGTCAATTTATTTCAATGGAAAATGAACGAAATTACCATATTGTTTCCTATTAAAATAAATGTTACGTTTTAAAATTACATAAATTACATGCTTAGTAATAAATACTTGTGTATGATTTCCAAATATAAACATTATAATATTTCATTTCACATGTCTGATCCAATTACGCTCTAAAGCGTACGATAAAAGTATTGCCATGTCTACTCGTGAAATCTTAGATATCATTAAAAGTATTTACATATTTAGTAAGTTAAAAACGGGTTTCGAAAAAAATACGAATTTCAGACATTTTTTTCCGGAATTAGTCTGGGAAATAGAACTTTTTGTAGCGCATTTTATGTGCATGTGCCCGAGGATCTCTCTAATGAAAACATGTTTCAAAACTCGTGCCTAGATTAAAGTCTCACCTTATTTTAGAAAAACACTCCCAATTTTCCAACTTAGAAGTACCTCCGCTTTATATATATAATATTGAACTTTTTCAATTCTTTTATGTCAGAGATCTTGATTTAAATTAATAAAATTTCAGAGTTCAATTTATATAACTGTTATAGTAAAAAATTAATGTTAATTATATATAGTTTTTATTTAATATATCAAAGGTGTGTTAAAATTTCTTTAAAAAAATATATAATATTGATTATGTTAACTCTTATATAACAGTAAAACTATCACAAGCAATAGGAAATTTACATATCAAAGAGTAGTTTTAAGGTAATTTCTTTCTCTATAAACCTTTAAATGAAAGGTTGTTTTAAATAATCTTCCAATTTAAATTTATGAGATAATTGGCACAAATTTTAAGACCGATATGTACATAAAATAAAATTGTTCATAAATCTTAAGACTTCAAGAGTTTTTATACAAATTTTTTACTCCTTATGTCCATGTAACGAAACGTTTTTATTGAAATACAGTAAAATTGAATAGTATCCCTTAATGCAACTGTTGTCATTGAAATATTAGACACCTCATAATAATTTTATCAAAATATAGAAACGACCAATTGTCAATTTTGATAAATCTTCTATATATATATATATATAAAAATGGATTGCTGTTCCTTAGTCTCGCTAAAACTCGAGAACAGCTGAACGGATTTGTCTTATCTTAGTCTTGAAATGTTTGTGGACGTTCAGGGAAGGTATAAAAGGTAAGAAAAATTGGAATAATTGCCGGGAAAACCCTAAAACCAGCCCTTTTCTATTTCCCATACAAACGCTTTTTTGACATTAGATTTGATAACTAACTAATATGTCAATCATTATGTTTGATTGAAACAGGAAAAACCTGATTATTTATGGCCTCTAAGACGGAATAGAGTTCGCCTGGTCAGCTATACATATACTACTATTGACGAAACTAACGCGGACGAAGTCGCGGGCAAAAACTAGTATAATATATATTTTTGGTCTTCAAACCTGTTTGACTATTACCCATTTTATCACGACTCTCTTTTGAATTGTTTTTTAGTTATTTATTAATCTGTTGCAAAAAGAATGTATCAATACCAAAGATACACATATATAACAATTGAACGCTATGTATATATACATTATTCTTACATTGAACAGTTGGATTAATAGAATACAGTACTGTTACATAGTAGCCTGGATGTTCTCTAGGAAATACTCGACTTAGGCCATTTTATTACAAAGCAATAAAG